TCTATCTATCTATCTATCTATCTATCTATCTATCTATCTATCTATCTTTTATACACATTTTCTAATTATCTTGGTACTTCAGAAAAATGGTTTTCTATTGGGATAAATAGGTTAATTAAAATGAATTCAAATCTAATACTTTATTTAATGAAAAAAAAAGTTTTTTTCAGGGGATTTGTTTTCTCTAACTCAGAAAAACAAGTAATTTATCATTTTTTTAAAATTATCTTAATAAATAAATACTATGAATTCAAAAAGCTCCTTCAGGTCACATGACCTGTGGGGGATGGGCTACAAGCCCCCTGTTCTGGATCTGCTTCCCCACCTGGAAGTAGATGCCGTAGTCGAAGCTCCTCCAGACGAAGAAGCCCTGGATGAGGCTGCATCCGGGCAAGCCGTCCCCGTTGAGGTAGACGCCGTACAGGCCGCCATGCGCCTCGTTGTGGACCCAGGCCTCGCCGCCATCACTGGCGCCAGAAGACCCAGGACAGGGCTCCCCGTCCACGCGATAGGCCACCCGCTGGAAGCCAGCCACGATGTTGTGCTGCAGCACCACGCCGGTGGCCTCGATCACCTGATGAGGGCAGAGACAGGCTGTAAAGATCCAGAGCTGAGCCAAAGAAGGGCACTTTGTGCCCCCGAAGGGCAGCCGGACCCAAGAAAACCACCAGAGGCCCAATGGAGGCTGCTATCAGGAACAGAGAGGTGAGGTTTAGGCTGATTCTGAAGGAAAAGGAGCTTTTAGCAGCTCTTCTTTTGGCTGTAACTCAGAAATAACTCAGATTTCTAACATAGATAAAGATGTTTTCTTGTTTTGTGTTCATTAAAAAGCATCCAGAACCAGTTAGAATGTACCGTATGAGTTAAAGTTAAGGGATGGAAACAGGGAAAGCTAATGGCAAGAAAAATCACCTAATAAATTCCCAAAACAAATCAAATCATCACATTTCATAAATTTTTCAGGAAAAATAACCAAAAGAACACAGAAAGAAACCAGAAATTGTCATAAAATGAGCACAAAGGGGCAAAAATAAAGCAGAAACAACCAGATTTTGTTTGAGAAGGTCTGAGAAAAACAAGCAAAGGAAGAATGGAAGCTGCTAGTTGAAGCTGAAGCTTATTTCAAACAGCTTTTTTAGGGTTTCTAACAGAAACGATGCACTGTCCCAGCTGTAAAGGGATTCTGTGGGTCCTGTTATAGGCTGGCTGCTTCCTTTGGTGGGGACGAACCTCGATGGCGGCGTTCCAGTCGAAGTTAAAGGGCTCCTCTCTGTCCTGGTAGGATCCCGGCCACAGGCTCATCATCACCAGGTTCCTGCTCAGCGTTGTCCTGCTGCCCCGGATCCTGATGCCTGCATAGTGGGAGGAGCCAGTCAGGCAGGGCAGCGGTGATGGTGGCGATGGCCCAGAGGACGCTCACCTTCCCCCACAGTGTGGTGGACCACGTTGTCAGAGATGTGCAGCCCCTCCGTCCCGAAGACGCCGATGGCTGGAGAGAAGCCGTCGTGGAAAGCGCAGCCCTGGATGTCAGACTCGCCTGCAGGCACCTGGAAACACAGCAGACGCTTTCAGGGACTTTTAAACTAAGAAAACTCTTAAAACCTAATAGAGAAAAATGGGTGGATTTTTATCTTTAACTCAGAAAAACAACCGTCTTCTCATATTTTGTAATTATCTTGTTAATTCAGAAAAAAATGATTTTCTGGGTAAAAATTGAAATGAATTGAAATCAAAT